GTGTGTGTGTGTGTGTGTGTGTGTGTGTTTTGGGGGGGCCACCAGGCTGGTGTGTGTGTGTGTTTTGGGGGGCCACCAGGCTGGTGTGTGTGTGTGTTTTGGGGGGGCAACCAGGCTGGTGTGTGTGTGTTTTGGGGGGCCACCAGGCTGGTGTGTGTGTGTGTTTTGGGGGGCCACCAGGCTGGTGTGTGTGTTTTGGGGGGCCACCAGGCTGGTGTGTGTGTGTGTCTTTTGGGGGGTCACCAGGCTAGTGTGTGTGTGTGTGCATGTGCATGTGCATGTGTGCATGTGTTGGGGGGTAGGGGGTCCCAGACCCTTCCTGACTTGGCCCGTGCCACCCGGCCTACCCCCACCCTCCAACAAGGAGAGAGATGAGCTCCTCATTCAGTGTCACCATCCCTCTTCCAGAAGCTGCCCAGTGACATGACTGCCCTGTCAACCCTCTGAGCCAATCAGAAGACAAGGCAAAAGCTCAGCCGACCTCTTCCTCCTCCACCAACCTCTGCCGGCTACCAACCCCGCCACCCTGCTAGGTCCCCCTGGAGACACCTCTTACCTGCCACACTTTTTACAAGGGAAAGTGTTCTCCTGATTCTGGGTCTTGTTAAATGGCTCTGGTTTTTTCTTCTTCTCCGCAAAAGGCAGTGCCCTTCGTGGCTTTCCTGGCCCCTCCCTTGGCTTCTCTGAGGCCTGGCCACCAGCGGACCCAGGGGCGTTGGACTCATGACTTCGGAGAATGAGGATGTCATTGGCCTGGAGAGAATCAAACAAGGAGACGTTGAGAGATTTGGGGGAGACGGGATCCTGAATTCTGGAATTTTGGGAGAACAGAGGACTCCTAAAGGTCATATACTCCTGCCAGATGGTCCCCTAGCATTCTCCTGAATCCTTCCAGTAACAAGGCACTCACTGCCTTTTCAGCAACCCATTCCATCTTTGGCCAATTCTATCTTTACCAAGTTGCTGGTACAGAAATTCTGTGGGACAGCCCTAGCTGCCTTAGGACTTCTCAATGTATCTGACAAGACTTGGTGTTTCAATGAATGATACAAGTGTTCATGTTTTCAGTCATTTAGTCCATTTATGACTTTATTCCATAAACGTGTGTTGCACAGGTGCTGGGGATACAGAGGTGACAGATAGGAGCCCCTGCCCCCAGAGAGCCTGCAGTCTAGAGGAAGGGACAGATGTGCCCGCATCTAGTTCATGACAATGTGAGCCACCACGGGAAATGCCAGGCATATTCCAGAGAGCAGAGGACACCTTGTGCTGGCCTGGAAAAGTGCTGCTCAGGGGCATGTACTCGGGTTAGGGGAGCCCCAGACGGCCATTAGAAGTCATATGTATGTGCACTATGTTGACCCTACAGAAAAGTGTTGACAGAAGTCAACAGAACTCTATCAAGCCTGTATACAGAACACAGCTCTTAGAGGAGCACAGCCAAGGCTCAAAGGGAAGCAAGCAGCTGTGTGTCTGCAGCT